GAGGACAGTCTCGGTCGTTGTGTCCTTGGGCAAGACACTTCACCCGTTGCCTACTGGTGGTGGTCAGAGGGTCCGGTGGCCCCAGTGTCCGGCAGCCTCGCCTCTGTCAGTGCACCCCAGGGTGGCTGTGGCTACAATGTAGCTTGCCATCACCAGTGTGTGAGTGTGTGTGTGAATGGGTGGATGACTGAATGTGTAAAGCACTTTGGGGTCCTTAGGGACTAGTAAAGTGCTATACAAATACAGGCCATTTACCTATAGTATAAAACCTGAAATAATCTTTTGAACCTTATCATGGGGTTTTTTTGTTTTGTTTTTTTACAATGTAATCTGTTAAAAAAATTAGATTTTTTTTGGAAGTGGACTTAATCCCCCATTCAAAACCACAAAGGAATGGATTGAACATTAATTTGAATAGACATACTATTTCTAAATAACTGTTGTTGGGTTTTTTTTCTCTGGCTTTACAACAGTAATAGTTTGCTATCCTGTTCTACTATTGTCAGTAAAGCCTTTTTTTAAAGGAATTGAACAAGTTTTACAACAATTAAATGGTAGGCTACTGCTGTTTTTAAATTTCTTCATGATGCTATAATGATATTTGTTTTTCAATTATATTTTTTGTTTAATATTTCTATTAAATACAGTAAATAATTTAGACATAATTTAAATCGCCTGTTACAATAACAGATAGAAGATCTTTAAAAAAGGAATTGCAATATTTATTGGACAATCCAAAAGACCTGTCAAACTGTCAACAAGTAATGAATTTAACAATCTCCAAAACATTAAAAAAATATAACAGAATTGAAATCTGCATCATTTATTCTGTGGAAAAACAAGTTTTTTTTAAAAAAGAGAAAAAAAGAAAAATCTAACATAAATATAATATAAAGATGCTGTAGCTCAGGCAGTAGAGCAGGTCATCTACTGATCAGAAGGTTGGTGGTTCGCTTCCTGGCTTCCCCTAGTCTGCATGCCAAATATCCTTGGGCAAGATATTAACCCCAAATTGCTGTCCGATGCACCCATCGGAGTATGAGTGTGTGTGAATGTTACTTAGAAAGCACCTAGAAAAATGTGCTTGTGCAAATGGGTGAATGCGCAAGTTATGTAAAGCGTTTTGAGTGCTCAGAAGAGTAGAAAAGCGCTATATAAGAACAAGTCCATTTACCATTTAAAATGTCATTTTTCATTGCACATTTGGAAAGATACTAATTTGATGTGTGCATGATGGCTGAAATATTCTTACTATAATATACTACTGAAATATTTTGGAAAGAAATGTTAATAACCACTGTTGTTGAAGATATTAAAGATGATAATGAGTAAGTTTAATAGAATAAATACTCTACTCAACTGAAAATCACCATAAAATGTTGTAATTCTTACTTGACTACATTCTTTTGAGAACTTTAGTATATTCACATCTTAATATATTAAAAAAATGTTATCAATAAAAAACTATTTAAAATTGTTAAAGGATACCATGAGAATATATGGAGCCCCGCAGGGGACATGGGAGAAAAAAAAATTAAGACGGACTTTTGCGAAATCTCGCAAAACAAACTCGGGATCTCGCAAAAGTTTTGCGAGATCTAGCAAAAGTTTTAGCCGCATTCTTTGGAGGCCTCCAGCTCAAAGCCGACCGGGAGGTCGAGGCACGATGTGCCGGGAAAGCGGTGTTCCTCCCGGCTGTAGTAGGTCTTGACCTCCCGTTAGCTTCGAGCTAGTGGG